TATTTTAACTATATATAGTTTGGTTAGTTAGGTAAGGTTAGCGTAACCTAACTAACCAAACGATATATCTAATTAAACAATCGAATAATCAATATATGAGTATTTCCATAATCTTTGTGTAGAATCTTTTAAAGTCATCAGAAATTATGACTGTTATTCATTTTAAAATAAGACCAGTAATACTTAGCAATTGCTCGAATTCGAGCAACAGGTACAGTATACTAGTTATAGTAAAAATGTGTAGGAGCAAGGTGTGACTTGATGCTAGTGGTTTATTGCGTCTGCGTCTCGGTGTTAGAGGGGAGGGATCAATTCCCGGCTTATGCACTAGTATAAAGGGGGTTAGAATAACTTTTTGTTAACATGAAAGTAGAAGTAACGAAAGTCTATAAACACGGGCTTAAAACAAAAGTATGTTGTTTTATTTTGAAAAACATTATGTCTATATATTGTCAAGCGTGGTCAAAATACGACTCTCAAATTTGGAAATGTTAAGCTTTCATATCGTAGCTGCCAAGTCTTCTTCTCAACATTAAACGATTAAGGAAAATTTTTAACACTGTAATAACAAAAACAATTCTTTCTGTACCGAATGATTATTAATTCTACCTGTCTTAGTTACCATCGAAAAATAGTATCCTATGACTTACTCTTATGAGCAATGTTTGCTTGTACGTAGATCTCGAAAACGGCGTTGACGATTTCCTTCAGATGTTGTAAATAATTTATATCTGGTCTAAAAACGTGTTTACTGCAGTTAAAATTGCCAACAAAAATCCAATTACGAAAAAAAATAATTCGAAAGTCAACATTTTTTAACATTGGGCTTATGGGTTACCAAGTAACCATTTTGGTTGAACAAAATAACAAGAAAAAAGTGAACAAAAGACTTGTACATGTGTTTATAACAAACCATTTACAGTGTATATTAGCTTTGATTAACTAGCAGACTAAAATATACAGTACAAAGGGAAAAACATATGTTGTTAACTATTGAGCAAAGATTACACTGGAGGTTAGGCCTACTCGATACAGGGGTACATAGGAAATAAACAACCTTTTAATACTTTAATACTTTTCGATGAAATGGCGACCGTACAAAGTAGGTATTTTAAATCAAGTACGAATGGAGTAATGGAGATGAGTGTGAACCCAACTATGGCTCGATCCCTTGCTACTATTTCATAACAAGGGTAGAAAGTGAGTCATTACATATTTAAAACCATATGTTTGAAGTGCGAGATTTATCGACGAGACAAAACGTTGGATTTTGGCACTTTTCCAAAAAATCTTTTGCGCATTCAATTTATATCAGAGTGGATTTAAAATTTAGAATCATGCTATAAGCAAAGTTGTAGCGATTTTAGGATGCAGTCTCCCAACTTTTAGAGGGATGTGTCGATTTTTAGTGGGATCGGGTGTAATCCCAATTTTATACAAAATCCGGAACACCATGCCTATCTGGTAATTTTTAATTTTCAACCTCTACTTATATTGGCAAATCGCTGCCACAGCCTAAGGACATTTACCAATTTGTTTGCCACACTCATCATTATTGCAATTGAATATTTAAGTATTTATGACTTGGACTGAAAACAATACTAATGAAATCATCATTTGCCGTACGTACAATAACCATATATGCGATAGTCATATTCGCGATCCCCGAATTCCCGCCTCCGCTAGACGCTGTTCCGCGTTCCCTCGACAGTTTATGTTGGCGCCGGAGTCTGGGTTTATTTTTAGTCTTGTGGTGAGATTATCTCCAAGGACATGACCTTGAGCCGGTGTCATCTGCCAGGACTGGAATCTGCTGGACATCCCTGCAGTAAATCTGAATACTGGATATATATGGGAACAAGGTCCAGTTTACTGGTTTTCGTTGCGTCGTACTCTGGTGTCAGGACTTTGTTTATTTACCTATTTCGTTTTCCCCTGTAGGAAACATCTACCTACACACGAGTATTTGTTTACCTAAACTTGTTTTCACTTAAATATCAAAAGGACGGATAAACTGACTAAAAGCTCAATACTTTAGATGGCCGTCAGTAAGTTCCAATGACTTCTTGTATATTGTATATTCTTCAAGAAAAATACCTTGTAGAAAAAATAACTGTTTTTCCAAAATCAAGTTTGCTACTACGTATTCTAATGACTCGAGGAAATATATAACAGAAATAATAGTGACTCCTAATGCCTGCTACAGATAAACCTACATGCATATAAAAGACAAAACTATTAGTACGGACCTAACGCCTAAACTTTTATGGTATCACTAAAAGCGATAACCTCATCATGTGGCCATATCAATACATAAATGTGCCTTATCTCAATCGTTTAATAGATGGGGCTCTTCTCAAACTTACAAACTTCACCACAATAAATAATGGTAGTCAGGTCAATCTGTTTATAAGCCTACATACATTATGGGGTTGTGAATACTATACAGGACGTTTTATCATTGACTCCTCATCTCAACCAGTCTCCTCCTGTTTTAGAATAACGCACTTTCTTTTCGAGATCACATAGCCTACTTATTCGTGTCAGGTAATAGTTTCTTTGTCCAGCCTTCAAAAGTTCCAATTGAATTCTCAATATTTTGACTCCTTCAAGAGACGTTGTAGTGACGCATGAACGATTCAATGTTAAATACCGAGGTATAAGTAAGCTATACCACTGAATATATACTACACCAATATCTGTAGTGAATGGCTTTACATACTGTTTACAGATAAGGTTAATAATTTATTAAAGTGTTAGTTTCTATGATAGTGAGGGCTGAACATGTTGATTACAAACGTGAGAAAGGAAGGCCAAGTAGATTTTTAAGGTGAAGGTATCTCCTTCATAGAAATTACTGTTTGTATGACCTGGTGATGTCATGTGGTGATGATTCGACTAATTTTCACTCATTACACACGCCTTCACTGTAATTTGTAAACGGATATTGCTTACATTTTAATTCAAAAAATTGCATGCCAGTGTTTACCGGCTTAAGAGACAAAGTAGGAACCTCGCCAAACTCTTTGGCTTAGAGTCAGTCTTAATCGTCAATCGTTACTTTCAATACACTGACGCACGTATTTTCATTGCGTATTTCAAATGGTTGCGTTTTGTTTACAATTTCTTTATTGTTATTTCAGTTATTTCAAACCTCTTAAATCCAAATTAAAAGATATAATCGTAAACAATAAATCGTACCCTAGTTATATAACCGAACAGTAAAGCACAAATCATGAAATTAACCCTAAAATAATAGAAACAAAATTCCGTCGACACCTGTAGTGATCAGTGTGTCACCAACATGAACTAGACCCGAAAAACTAGCTTCAAAAATTTACAATGGGATGAAAAGTCAACTTCTACTTGTGTTGGTTAGTCTATAATACCATAGACAAAATTGTCTATGATAACACGAATGAAGGTTAGTGTAGAATGGAGTGAGTCTATCTTTGTAGCTTTGTTACTGACGATCAGGTGTTCCTTGTTTTGATCATTTGTTTTTTAGCCCAATGATCAGGAACAACATTAACCAGTTTCAAACCATCAAAAAGCTACGGATTTTTCTCAGGTACTTCCATCAGACTTAGTCCTACTTATATCTCTGCTTTTATCAGCTGCTTCTGTAGCTAGGATTATTTATTAAAAGCTAAACTATCAAGGGCAGTAAGTCACCTCCACAGTTACTTAATTACAACTCGAGTGTAATATTCACATACCCATCGCATCATACGGAGTACAACTACAGTTGAGTATGACCTACGACGACGGAGCTCTGGTAGTCCTACTTAAATCGTTGTAACCGTTACTCGACCGTAACTGTAACGTTCACTGTTGTGTCTTCAGTTACTCAGTTCCAAAGCAAGTGCATTCCCATAATCATCTCGTACACTATGGCCTTCGAAGCTCAGATAGTGCTGTCTTCAGTCCTACTTACTCGTTGTAACCGTTAATCGACCGTAACAGTGAAACTTACTGCAGTGTCTTCACAGTAACTCAGCTCCTAAACATGAGTAAGATTCACATAATCTTTCCATAAATTAAATTGAATTTAAATCAGTTCAATACGGGGTAAACCTACAGCATGATCTACGGACCTCTGCTAGTCCTACTTACAAGAATTATCTCCGTAACAGTTACTCGACCGTAACCGTAACGTTTACCTCTTGGATCGTTACGGTTAAGTGTGATGCTAAGGATCAATTTCTATTTCATTTTCAGAGTAATTAAGCTAAACTTTTTCCAAGAACTTTTTCTAAACCACGAAAATGGCAATGAAGTTAAATACATTTCTGGAAAAATATTTCTTTTACTACTGACTGCACTCTCCATTGTTCGTGTGAGAGATGTATTGACCATTTACTGCATTCACACATTCACTACTTGAGCTCGTGAGAGAGAGAGAGGGTTTAACATTTAACAGGAGGTGACATAGCGATGGTGTAAGCTGCAAGAAGCGGGAGAAAGCAGATAGAAAGCCGGACCGGAGACGGATGCTAATATATGGCTGACCTCGCCAAATAGTAGTGTCAGGGTTACAGCACAGGGCATAGAGTAACAAACACATAGAGAATGGAGTGATGGATAGGTGGATTTACATTGAGAAAAATGGGTTTTGCAGCCTGTGGATGAATTAGTATTTTTTTTTACCCTACAATCGTGTAACTGTTCCAACCCGTATTGTCGAGTTACTTAATAGCCAACCGATTGAACAAAATTGTCCCAAATAATTGAAGTGATTTGACAATTCTTTTGGAGACATGTTTGTCTTCAAAAAATGTCTTACTACAGATTCTTTGCTAACTGATAAACGTGGTTAAGAGGAAAATTGTGTGAAATTGGCCGTATCTTTAATTACTAGCTTATTTGCTCAAATTACTCAACGATTTACACAAGTTTGCCATGGAATAGAAGTTGGGCTTCTCCTATCTGTTTTTAATTGACCTAAGATATGTGGTAGTTCGATTTAAAGATTTTGACATAATAATTGTATGTTCCAGATGAGTCATTTATTCAACATGTTCAGCAAGCAAGTAGCAGATCATTGTGACACCTCCACGATGCCAGGTAAAACAATATATGAAAATTGCTTATCCTTCTTTACTAAAGATGCAGGGACACGTTTGCAATTGAAATACTGATTAATCCATACGCTAGGAAAATTGACTTTGTCAATGGAAAACGTCCTTTTGTTTAACGTAATATCAATCTATCTGTCAAACTACAAAAACACAGATACAAATTACCTCACAAGCCGAAGGTCAAAGACAGTGAAAGTAGAAATGAGAAATTTAATATGTGTTTACAAACACCAGTGTCAGGTTGGGCCCGCTATTAATAAAACTGAAAGCCACTTTCACTTACAACTATTCAAGAGGTATTTCAAAAGCCCGCAAACGACAACAATCAAAGAACTACTCTTTTGTGAGTTTGCGACTATTAAGTCATCCGCTATGAATCCTTATAGGCAGATTCAGAAGGACGCTTTCAGTAGGTATTAAAATGTTTAAAATTGAGATATTATGGTGATTATAGATTCTGCGAATTGAAAGGGTCTCCTATGCATTAGTAATCACCATTCAGTCTTACATCTCCTACAGGTTTCGTACAATTTCCAATATCTTAATTTGTAAACCTTTAAATGGGCTACGAGTACATTATTACTCCGAAAATGTTCATACTCAATATACTGCAAGTCTAAAATGTTGTTGGCATAATAATTAACAATTAGATTGATGAAGAGTATTGTACAACCAGTCACGTTACCTTACTGAATTTTACTGAATCGACTAATCTCTACTCCAATTTTAAATACTACTCGATGGTAAATTGAAATTCATTCTATCGGACAAATAGTATACAACAGGTTTACGGAACAAATATGAATTACCTAATCATTTAAGTATTACAAACCAAGTGCTGTTTTATGAGCTTTTTATTATATTTTTATTTAGTACGATAACTCTTACGCAACCTTGCAAGCTTTATCATTGGGCTTTAAAAATATGGTCCTGACCATAGAAACAGCCGATGTTAGTCAATCAGAACTTTTTTCCAGCATCTTACTCCTTTCTACACTTATCCTTCATTTGGGTTAAAATACGCCAACTAGCGTCCCCCTTTTTATGTGGTAATTGTAATGTAGTGTAAATAGAAACACAACACAAGCGATTATTGCCGGTTGAAATAAAAGTAAATATCAAAAGTACGGGAGAGCGTCGAGAACACTTCATCCTCCAAATTAGATCCTTGCCGCTACTTTCACAGTCAGACCGGGCCATTGACACTAATTATATTGTTGTTACTCACACGAATGTGAGGTTGTAAGTATGTAGTACAAATGACGACAACAAGAGACGGTCAGAATGATGAATACTTGAGATGTAACTTAATTATTCAAATCGTTTGTGAAATGGATTGCAAAAACAGGCTAATTATATGCATAATTATAATAGATCGATAGCGATAGCAAATTTGTTGGTTATGTTTGTTTTAAAATGTGTATGATGCGATCGGTTATTTGACGCATGTGCATTGCGCAACAATTAATTGTAAAGTTCGTTTTTGTGTTCATTTTATATCGTTTCATTAAATAACTTAATGCTAGTATAGATTTTTTTCCAGGGAGTGTCAAACTTTTTAAGAGAATTTATCTAAACCGCAACGAGATCGGAAGCAACGATTTATTGTTTATTACCTCTACTTTTCAACGTGCTTTGGCCATGAACAAACTTTGTACAACGGTTTATAGACTAATTTAGATCTAAATGCTCTTTATAGACTTATTAACGGGTTGTTAAGTAAACTAATAACAGATAGAGTGTTCAATTTCCACCAAAGAATTCAATTAAAAATATTTAAAGCCGTTATTTAGGCTATAAAAAGTGATTTACTTGCATACATATCTTAACATATTTTTCATTGTTTTTCTTCTGCAATCTTATTCATATATTATTCTATACTAGCAAAGTTTAAACTGAATTAGCTTACTCACACCTATTTATACCTAGTTCAATTTTCTCTTTAATAATTCTATCTGCGTCACTACTGCCACATTTTTATTTGTCTTAACTGTTTGCCATATGTATATCTGCGTCTCGATACAAGTGTAACGTCATGTTATGCTCTAGAATTTTCACCTATCAATTCTGTCCTTTATAACATTGTCAATATTATGGTTTTATAATCTAAGACTGACTAATACTTAAAAAGAGTCGACTCAAAGATAATGTTATCCACTCTACTCCAGTTATCGAAACTGGAAACGAACTCACTCTGAAAAAGAACGCTCACTCCACTTCAGTTATCGAAACTGAAAACGAACTCACTCTGAACCAACGCTCTTGTGTGCACCATGTGTGTTAACTACAAACAGCTGTAATTAATACAAATTATTCGTCTGTTTTAAGTAAACAATGGTTATTTGTGCAACTAGTGAGAAAAGTGAGCAATTGACTCACTCGAGAGAAATCCTTACTCACGAGCCGTAGGCGAGTGAGGAATGGTTTCTCGAGTGAGGCAATTGTACTTTGAACTCGAGTTGCACATTATACTTTTCCTACAGTTACCATAAAACAAATAAATTTGTGAAGAAACATAACCTATTTTTACACAAAAGTGAACTTTTAATATAACATTTAATGTGAAGTGACAAATACAACAGTACAACAGCTGACCAGCTGATTTACAGCCAGTGCTGCCAACGTATTTCGCGCGCATACGACGTTGCCTGCAGGTTACGCGCTCACTATTTCGTGCATTCACGTTGCAAATCTGGAGTGAGACAAAGTAATTAGAGTGAGACAATATTAACATTGTCTCACTGATGAGCGAATTGGCCACTTTGCTTTCTCAAATCAGTGAGAGAACATGTACATTGTTAGGTAACTGTAGGAAAAATCTTTTTCCTACAGTCACCCGACAAAGTTGGCTTCCTTGTACTGTTTATAGTACAGAAAGCTGCTAATTGCTGCATATTTATACTTTGCCGTACGGTTTATACTTTGTCATACGGTTTATACTTTGCCGCACATCAGGATTCCAACGAAACAACAAAAAACAGCGTGGTTCTATTATGCACGTAATCCGTGTACGCTTGGAAATAGGTTGGCAACACTTAAAGATAATAATACTATGAGCAGCTGATTGACTATTATAACTACGATTTAACCTGTCATTTCGTGTTTATAGTTTCGGTATTTCTGAACTTTCTGGACTTTTCTTTTAAACGTTTTTAAAACATTCCTACGATCTTAATAAACAAGAAAATACCTTTAAAGCATTTTTTTAGGCACGGAAACCACTTCAAATTACTAAAACATACGGAACTATATTCTCAAAACGCGGAGCACATTTCTTGCCGAGGAAAAATAGTGGTGTGATACGGACCGCGGGTACTACTTTCTCTAGGGCACCATTTGTGTTGCCAGCTGAACCTAAAAACGTGTTGTATAGTGTTTGAAAGACTAATTATTTATATGCTTTATAGTGACTGTAGGAAAAATATAATGTGTAAAGGTCGATTCACACATATCAGTTCAGTCACAGTTCCGTTACAGTCCAGTAACAGTTCAGTCTCAGTTGCATCCGCAATTTCTCAGTCAATAGTCCGTCAGTTTGTTTCAGTCAGTCTTCCGTCTCTAAAATTCACAGTAATTTACAGTCAAAAGTTTTAAATTATAAACCTATATTCTATCCAGTTTTCATTGTCCATCTTGTTGATTGTTACAAACAGTACTCAAAATATAAACACAACCATTTAAACAACAATAACACTATTTTCTAACCTTAAACCGGTCCGTCAGTCGTCCGAACAATCCAAAAGTATCGGTGGAAAGAAATCTGAAATTAACTGACGGATGCCGGTAGAGCGACTGACGGGACTGCAACGAATAAGTGTAGATAGCGCAATAGAAAATCCATAAAAGAATATTTTTGTTAACTGTGACGTGCCTGAAGTGACTGGACTGTGACGTTCCGTAACTGATGTGTGTGAATCGACCTTAACACGATTAACACGAGTGAAAAAGGCCTTTGCTGCACTCGAGATCACTCCGCAATCGCCTGCGGCTCGTGTGTAAACATTGCTATCGTGTGCAGCAAAGTGCCACTTTCACCACTAGTTACACAAATAACTATTTCTCACAAGAAATACTTTGGGATTTTGATGACCTGTGGGGCAAAGCCTTAAGACTTTTATTACAGGAATTGGTGAAAGGCGTCTACACAAAAATTACTTAATTTTGACACATTGTAAAAATCCGTCCATTATTATCGGAGGAGTAGTGTTTCGTAGAAATCGCCTTCACGTATTGTATATAAGGATTGGCACTAGTTATATATAGTCAAAACTTTACAACTATTCGTCATAAACGAAACCACGTCACTGAATGTGAAATATGACACTTAACACGAGCCATTGTTTAAACAGCTGACTTCTAGAAGCATTGTTGTCGCTACGCGGAAACATACTTTAATGGCGGACGACACGACAAGACGATTTGAGAAAATTAAATATTAATACGGGTAATCACCAGACACATCACCCACCTAGACCTTGGGAGTTATATAACACGGTAGAAAAAGTGTTGCTGCTATTTTTGCCGGTAGCTACAATCATTCTCGGTCAACGTTTAAATAAACTACGTGAAGTGACGTAGTAATTATAAACGTAGATATATTGATATCATTTTAACGGTACACATTTTTTTTTTTAATTTGAGACATGCTTTTAGATGCTACAAATGATCACCAAGTTGCATTACTTTATACCTACACGACAAGGTTTTTAAAATGAAATAAAATTCTCTAGAGGCCTATCGTAAAAAGAGCACGTTTGCTCGATAAAAATTATTTTTTTTTACAAATACAAACTATTTACTGTAGTATGAAAACTGTGACTAATGATTGCCTACATGTACCGCACAAAATCACATATTATATGCTGTTCTTGAAATTGTTATAGGATGTAAGTTAAGCCTGGAGTGCTTAGTACCTAGTTTTTCTTACAGTTAGACCAAGATTAAGATTTGTGATTATATTTTATACGCAATTTTACATTTGTCTAAAGCTTATTTATAATTTTCCAGATTGCAACAAAGTCCTGATGATGTACGGACTGTCCAATCTGGCTAAGATGGAGGACGAGAAGTTGGACGCCATGGACCCTTACCAGCGTGGCGCCATGGATATCAGTATGTATTATCATTGATTAAACATTGCTGGTACTCATATGTTTCATTTATTGGATACATAATAACTACCAGGCTGGTAGTTATTCTGTATCCAACAAATGAAACATATGTTCCTACCCCTGCATGGACATTATTTCATTGCCACACCTGTAAACAATACAGTACGCAAAATAACTAATTTCCGCTCGCTAAATCAGCTGATTACACTGTTGGCGTTTCATTAAAACACCAAAATCCGGTAAGACACCAATATTAAAAACTCCAAATAACATAAAATAAAAAAGCAAAACTTAACCTAAATAACATTTTACATGCAACTGAAAAGATAATATGTGTGTTACTATAAATTAATTATGATGGTAAAAAAAAAATCTTGTGTGTATTATGAGCACAGCCGTTGCTGCTCTCGGAATGTATGGCCACACTCAACTAAACCTTGGTGTGACCATCATCCACAGTTCTCGAGCGGCAATGACGTACTTTGCGGTATTAAAACAAAAATAGCTAATCCCATTTACTTGAGCTGTATGTATTGTTTTGCAAAATGTAGATAGTAGCAACGCATATATGTGGTAATAGGAACAGCTTAGTATTTGAAATGTTTCAATTCTTACAAAGCTACCTAGCTTGTCCTTTTTAAAGAAGAGTGTGCAGCTTTGACCATCAGTTGCACAGCCATTGAGGTGTGAGAAATTATGTAAAATTTGATATTTAACATACAGGTTGTTTGAGTTATTACTAAAGGCGTAAAACATTGCAAGAACGAAAAATTATCCCTTGAGTCAATTAAGTCTGCAGACAATTTCGTTTAATACTGTTACTGTTCAATGAAATGACGACCATACAAAGTAGGTATTTTAAGCCAAGTAGAATGGAAATGAGGCTTAAGCCATTATAACATACTTTTTGTTTGTGAGGCAGTTGTTTTTTTAAAAATTACCATCACATGTTTTATTTATGCCATAACTTAGATGTCTATAAATAAAATACATTATGGACCATACAAATCCGTATACCTAGCCAGTGTATAAGGTGACAACCACGGAAAGTAGAAGTGTCTAGTTCTAGTGTAAAGTGTTATCGCTTTTGCTTTATCCAACATAACATCTCCCAAAGTCTATTGCAAAATTTACAACTTAAAATAAACTCCAGAATATATCACGATGTTTGCTTGAGTCACTTTATGTTCTTTTTCCTGATTTTAGTTGATTAGTACTGGTATTTTTTGTAGTGCTAATTTATGATTTCCACGTTTGTTTTCAGTTTGGGATCACATGATGCACGGAGAACATGACCGAGACCACGGCCATTCGGCTAGTCAATCCTTCGACAACGGTAATTAGATCCATTCGAATGTGATTCACCGACTAATTGTTTAAGATAAAAAATGTTATTTGTTATAACCTTATTTAGCTACGAAAATCAAATCTGTTAAATACTGTATCTAAGAAAGTATGTTTTATCTCTATGACTGTAACTATTCGATAAACCTAATTTCTCTGATTTGATCAGTTGTCATTGTCATAATCCAAATTTTTTCACTCTTTACTGTGTTTAGGTCGTGGCTTGATGTTAACATATGTTGTGATTCTTTGTTTAGTTTACATTTACGTCTTATTTTGTAACCATCATGGCAACCCATAAGGCCAATGTTAAAATTTAAAAACTTTGAGTTACTTTAAAATGATATAGGTATTATCAAAAATTGAAAATGGTTACGTCTAAACCATTCAAACATTTGACAAAACAACTTTGATAAGTTTGGCTAAAATATGTACTGCCGTTATTGAGATTAAGGGTTATAAAGATTGCATTAAAGTTGATCCCAAAGAGCTTCGCTTCGCCCCGCTCAATTAAAGTATACAGCTGACTTATTTTCAATTTAGTCGATATATTTCACTACTTACATTCTTCCTAAATGTAAACATTGAAAATTTGGAAGCCCTCGGGGCGTAGCCCAAAGGGAAATATGGAAATAAAATGATTTAATGTTGAATTGTCATCCATTGTGGTCCATTTGTGTTTTAAGTTCCAAGTCTCTAGCTCATCGGGAAGTTAGTGAAAAATCAATTGCAAAATTTGTACCCAACAAACAAGAACGCGAGCTAATAAAAACGTTTTAAAAAAATACTATGGGTCTCCATACTTCTTGGATACCCTATATACTACAGTTTAATCACTATGTAAACTTACTTACTGATAACATATTGTAAATCCAACCCAATTTGATATTTTGTTCCAGAACCCGTGTCAAGTGACAACCAGCTAGGTGCCGCGTCCAGTAGCGTAGAGCAGTACGCATCTGCAGGACCTGCCCCCGCTATGATGGGCCCAATGGTTGTGCGGGTGTACCCGGACGGGCGACCTGTCCCCGACGACGTCCACAGACCCCCACACAGGGACGAGGACCAAGAGGAGTACCTAGCTATGAGGGCGAAACCCGTCCCCAGCATGGCGGACCTCATGAGGTCGACGTCGAGGAACGTCCACTCTTCTACTCCAAGAGGATAAGTTGACCCAGTGTCGGACATGTGTATACGATACCAAGACAGAGGAAATGCGAGTGTAAACAGGAGGTTACAAAATGAGTTTATGTAATATATGCCAAGTATTTATATGTAACTTATTTAAATTGTAAAAAAAGTAATTTAATTTTCTTACAAGGTACCAATGTGCTGGTAAATATTTTACTTTTCGCTTGGAAAGCAATCCTTCCATTCAATTCACCAGCAACATTGTAAATTTAAGTACTATAACATTATTATGTATGTATTTATTTTAAATTATTTTTACATTATTTATTTTAGATCTAAGCTAGTTAGTGACAATGGAACAACTTTGTGCCACGCTCCTCAAATTTGAGGTTAAATTTTGGAAGCTTTTAAGAATTCATAACAACATTGTTGCAACTTCTTTAAAACTCTATTTAAAATTGTATAATGTATTTTTTTATTTGAGTAATAAATATGTTTTATGTTTTTCAAGTTGTTGGTTCTATAAAGTGTTTATTGTTTGAAGAAAATATTGAAATAGACAACAATGTATTCAGTAATTTATAACAGAATAACTCATAATTGTACCATAAGAAAATATAAGAGAAATCTGTTAAGATACAGAACATGTGTTACTCAAAGTTCTGGTCTTCAATATTGTTGATGTGATATTTATTAAAATCTAATGTGTAAGTACCTAGTTAGTTCTATTTATTTTTTGTATTTAAAATAAATTATTATGAGATTATTCATTTCTACCTTATTGTTGCCTTTTTTATCATAACTAGATAGCCCGTTGCTCGAAATCGAGAAAAAAACTTCCTCCGTAGCGGACCTGTTTTCCTCCCTTCCCATATAGCATTTTAGCATTGCAGATACCATAATCTAATCGTCATGAACAGATCTCACACTCCAGACAGCTTGCATTTACTACCTCCTTCACCGCTTCCTACGTCCCGTCGCCGACCTGTTTCCCTCCCAGTGCATTTTAAGATTGCAGATACCGTAATATAATCGTTATAAACAGATCCCACACTCCGGACAGCTCACCTTTGCTACCTCCTTCACCACTTCCTACGTCGCGGACCTGTTTCCTTCCCTTCCCAGTGCATTTTACGATTGCAGATACCTTAATCTAATCGTCATGAACAGTTCCAACACTCCGGACTGCTTGCTTTTACTACTTCCTTCACCACTTCCTAAATCGTGGACCTTTTTTATCCCTTCCCATAGCATTTTAGGATTGCAGATACCTTAATCTAATCTTCATAACAGATCCCACACTCCACACTGCTAGCCTTTACTACAATATATCGAGTAATCTTCAGTATATATAATCATTGCTCAATAGTAACAAGTGATGTTTTTCCTTTTGTACTGTATTTTGTAATTTGCTAGTATACAGTGGGTAGATGCCTCTATGAACACATGTTACAACTTACAAGTCTTTTGTTACCTTTTCCCTTGTTATTTAATTCAAACAACATGGTTACTTAGCAATCGGAAGACAAATGTTAAAAAAAATGTGACTTTCAGTTTTATTTTTCTACGTAATTAGATTTTTGTTGGCAGTTCTAACTGCTGTAAACTCGTTTTTAGGCCAGGAATAAACTATTTACAACATTTGAAGAAAATTGTCGGAGCCGTTTTCGAGATCTTGTTGCAAGCATACCTACATACATACAAGCAAACATTGCTCATATTAGAGTATAGGATTAACATATGTCCTTCTTCTCACTTTTAATTTTTGACAACAGCTGGAGTTTTATAATAATGTTTGTTTCCCATATTAATCTTATGGAGAAATACAAAACTTTAAAGAGCCCCAGGGCCTCACCCTCTAATTATTTCCCTAAAAATATATATTTCCCTAATTATTTTCACACAAAAACATGTCAATCGGTTCAGTAGTTTCGGAGGAGTAATTGTCACAAAAAACCTGCTTGCTTATTAAATAAGTATAGATTTGTTTAAATCAACTGTGCGGAATTGTCAAATCAAGTGCATTTGACAGTTCTGCTTGTTTACATTTAAACATTAGAGTTTACTCTTTGTTGCCATGGATATCAATCAATATTTACTTTTAAAACTCACACCTCAGAACTTTGAAAGCCCACGGGGCAGAGTCCTAGGTCAATATGGAAGCGGGAATAGTTCTATATATGTATCCTCAGAGCTGAAGCTTTATTTTTGTCCAATTTGAGCCTATAAAAAAATCTTATAGGTTCAGTAGTGAGTTTAGCTCATACAAACACACACAAAGACAGACACCACCTCTTCTTCATAAAGGTATAGATAGATGGATTAGAGAACTTGTTAAGCATTGTGTTCTATAACAAATAGTTTTATGTAGCATGCATATCCCTATTCGTTTAGCTGTGGCCAGCTCAATTTTGAGCCAAGAAAAATTAAAAGATCAATGATTAATGACATCCAGGACCTGAAAACCTTCTACAAGCTTGTTTGACTTAATACTTTAATACTTTTTAATGAAATGGCGACCATGCAAAGACTATGGATAGAACTAGTCATTCCAAAACGAAAGAGACACTTGCACATTCTATGATTGGCTCAGACAACTAGATTCTTTTTCATAGCCTTTTTGGCGACGGCTGGTCCAATTAGATGGATGTCTAAAATTATGGAAACATGTCTTATCTATGACATAGTGAGGCAATATCATGATTACTCCATAAAGATTGATTAGGTAGGTATTATATTGTATTTTTTCTTTAATAGTTCATTTGTTTCTTCCAAAAGTAGTGCTAACAAATAGAATTTCTAAAAATATATTTTAAAGGAGTGTGTTGAGTTAAATGGGTACGGTAGTTTTTATTATATCATGTTCATATTATACATTTTACACAATCATAAAATCATCATTTTATACTTTTACTACAACTAGACCAATGTCTTTTCATATCATAAGGTATGTAAGACCATTTTGACCTAAAAACAGTAGTTATAAGCAAATGAGTCTCTTAGTTTGAAAACTTTGTATTTGTACTTGAAGGTAGTTGTTAATCTCTCAAAATTGCAGCTTCATGTTTAGAAACTTCTGTTTATTATATACTCCCAGAGCAGTAATTTTACTCTATTCAGTTTACCCTACAAGTAGCCATCTTATAGGTTGCATACCACTGTTCTGATGTTAGATGCAATAGTCCAAAGTCAGAATTAAATCTTTTTCTAGAGTTGATGTGAGATTTACAGTACTCTCAACTAAACATAGCAAAAACAAAATTAGCTTACATACATAAAAATAAAAAGAAGAATAATTACACCACTATGAATAAGATAAAGGAACTGCTTGGTGGCCAAGAGAAACTCAATAAACAAGGAGGAGAGGAAAACAGTGTAAGAGATTTCATGACAAAATATCTCATATTCTCAGGAATATGGAAGTCTAAATACAATCACACACACAACCCAGCTGTAGCTTTGGTTAACCTGACAGTTCAGATTCTGGGGTTCATCAGCGTCTTGTACATGTTTGTCTTGAGGTACGATGATATTAACATCAACACTGACATTTTGCTTCACACTGTAGAGCTGTTCAATACCATTTGCTTTCAAATCATGTTCATCAGGAAGAAAGATGACATAGCTCGTCTCTCAGAGGTATTGAACTTCTCATTCAAACAGATTGACTTACCAGCATGTATTCAATATGAGTGTGCCGTAATACTTGAAAAAGAACGAAAGTCGTTCCTGAAAATCATGAAGATAGCTTTAGCAGCCATTATTACGGTTTATGTGGGTGTGATCTATGACTCAAATGTTTTTGGAACTAGTGGCCCTCAAAAGATATTCTACCCGTCTTGGTTTCCTTTTGACACTGATGTGAACCACCCTGGTTTTTACTACCTTGCCATGACATTTGAAATGTTGATTTACATGGAGTTACTCTTTATTGATTTAGCTGCTTTTGGTTTATGGTTCTGGACTATCAATGCTGTTAGTGGAATCCTGGACATTTTGGGACAAACTCTGCAGAAAATGAGTGAGGAAACGCACAAGTCCCAGAGAGAGTTACAGATTGAAATAAGTAAATGTATCACCCTGCATAACTTTGCTATAGAGTAAGTATATTATAGTATAGATAATCCCATAATCTTAAGTACCTTATGAATGTAAATCATAAAATTTTCTCCCAAATTATAAATGGCCATATGGTAGCATGGAAATACGACAAACCCAAAAGCAAGAAAGTCCATTATCAAATTATTTTTGTTTCAGTTTGGTAAAAAATCTTAACTCTTCAATTGGACGAGTCTTTATGGTGATTGTATTATCTGGTGAAATTGCTATTTGCTTCTGTGGATTCCATGTGATTCAGGTAACATAACTATTTATTAAACATGATACCCATTTATCATTTGCGAATAAAATTCCTTTATTTTGTATCCAGTCCAAATTTAAGTACAGTTTTAAAGAAGTATGGTAAAAAGACTGCTTGGATAAAAAATACAGGATTTTTTTAACACAACCCAAATTACAAGTATTGTAAGACACTGTTTAGTGACAAAACAAGCCTATAATAAAATGTCATATATTATAAATGTTAATGTGCCTATAAAAAAATTACAAACATATCAATGTTGGTATGCCTGTTTTCTTTATTTCCATTATATTTATGAGGAGTGTTATCTTACTAATATTATAAATGTGAAAGTTTGTGTGTTTGTTTGTTTGTTTGTTTATTTGTTTGTTTGTTTGTTTGAAGTTCAATCACGCTTTAACTACTGGTCGGATTGGGCTGAAATTTTGTATGATGATAACTCACATTCCCGATTAACATATAGACGTATTCGTATCACAAAAATCCTTTCGGGCTCCGCCCCAGTGGCTCTGGAGTTTCCCATGTTAACCTTATGAGTATTGATATTTAAAAAGGATTTTTGTCAGCTCTTTCAATTACTCAAGTTGTTCTATGATATTCAATATTATTAAAAGTTATAAGGTTCACCAACAGGGTGTAGCACTTTTTAACATTTTTTTCATTTATGACAACATAGCTAATTTGAAGCTGTGATGCACAATGAGAACTTTTAAAGTAGGATTGTTTACGCTTAAGCTTATGTTTTTAATTTATAAATGATGTTTTGATATTGTGCTAATATTCGATAATTTACTTTTTTATTGTTTAGGTGTAGTGGTATAACATTATGGATATCGTATATGTGCTATACTATAGCTTCCGTAAATTAAAAGAACCAAAATTTTCTCAAACCGTGTCCTCTTATATTGCAAACACAAAGCATTAGTATAACTGCAATAAGTATTTTATACTTATAAGCCAACCCCGTACGAAGTACGGGTGTTCAGCTTGTTTACCATAAATTCCTAATAACATTTAATCTTAGCAACAATGCATATAAGCTGATTGGCAATAAGTAAAGAAAACATGCATACCAAATAGGTTGTTTTGGTCTTAAATAGTGGTTCCCAGCACTTGGAGTATTTGGTTTGCATAAAAACAAAACACCCTATGCTATATTCCAGAAGTTAAATTAATAAATCTTTTAATGTTCAATTCACTTGTCTTCCATTTGACGCCATCTAAAAATTGTAAATTATTTGTTTATTTGATTTTTGTAACTAAGTATTAAAATATGTTTGAAATCCTTATATATAATACGAGAAGGCGATTTCTACGAAACACTACTCCTCTGTTAATAATGGACGGATTTTTACAAACAATGTGTCAAAATGAAGTATTTTTTGTGTGGACGCCCCCTTTCTCCA